AAACAAGAGGACATAACTCTTGTAACATTTATGCACCCAACATAGGAGCACCTAAACATGTAAAGTAAATCTTGATGGACATAAAGGAAGAGATTGACAATAATATAGTTATAGTAGGGTATTTTAACACCCCATTGACATCAATGGATCTTCCAGACTGAAAATCAACAAGAAGATGGTGACCTTAAATCACACACTAGATCAACTGGATTTAATTGATACCTTCAGAGCATTTAACCCCAAAGCAGTAGAATATACATTCTTACATGCCCATGAACATTTTCTAGGATAGACCACATGTTAGACACAAAACAAGTCTATATAAATTTAAGACTGAAATCCTATCAAGCCTCTTTTCTGATCATAACTTGAAATCAGTCACAAGAAAACTGAAAAACACACAAACATATGGAGGCTAAATAACATGTTACTAAACAATGAATGGGCAAATAAGGAGATTAGGGAAGAAATCAAAAGACACCTTGAAACAAATGAAAATGAGAACATAACTACCCAAAAATCTGTGGAACACTGGGATAGCAGCTCTGAGAGTGAAATTCATAGCATTGCAAGCATTTCAAAAGAAATATGAAAAATCTCTAATAAACGATCTAACTTTACACTTAAAGAAACTGGAAAAAGAACAAAGCCCAGAGTGAGTAGACGGAAGGAAATAATAAAGACCAGAGCAGAAATAAATGAAATACAGTCTAAAAATATAATATAAAACATTAATGAGGCCAAGAGCTAATTTTTTGGAAAGGTAAACAAGATTGATAAACCTTTAACCAGACTCAAGAAAAAAAGAGAGAGGACCAAATAAATAAAATCAGAAATGAAACAGGAGAAGTAGCAACGGACACCAAATATATACAAAGGATTGTAAAAAAATATTACAACTATATGCCAATAATCTGGAAGAAATGGATAAATTCCTAGGAACATACAACCTTCCAAAACTAAATCAGGACAGATTACAACTAGTGAAATTGAAGCAGTAATCATAATTTAAAAAAAAAAAAAAAAAACTTTCAACAATAAAAAGCCTGGCCAAATGGCTTTACAAGTGAATTTACCAAACATTCAAAGAATACCTATCCTCTTTTTACAAGGCCAGCATTATCCTAACTCCAAAACCAGATAAAGATACAAGAAAGAAAGACAATTATAGCCCAACATTCCTGTATAACATAGATGCTAAAATCCTCAACAAAATATTAGGAAACCGAATATAGCATTACATTAAAAAGATCATACATCATGATCAAGTGGGACTTATTATTGGGATGCAAGGTTGGTACAACATTGCATATAAACAATAAACATGATAAACCAAATAAATAGATTAAAGGATAAAATCACATGATCATATCCATAGATGCAGAAAAAGCATTTGATAAAATTCAGCACCAATTTATGGTAAAAATTATAGTCTAAATTGTTTCAAACAAGCACACGTAGAGAAAAAATTAGCTTATATTCGTTATTTTTAGCACCACAGAGAAAAAAATTAACATATTCTTTATCTCTTAGGTCAAAATTACATTATTATGGGCCAAGTGGGTGAAGATGGGCGAGGCAAAATCATGCCCAACAGCTTTGTCATGATGTTGAAGACCAAGAATCAGAAGTTCCTGAATGCCTTGGAAAACAAGCAATGTTAACAGTGAACTGTGTCCATTTAAGCTTCATTCTGATATTGCCTTTGAAAGATCTATTTTTCTCACTATAAAAACAATCTTATGACATTAAATATTGAATATTCAGAAAGATTGACTCTTCACAGAGGTAGGTGTGATGGAAGTTCCATGCTTGCATCAAGAGAAGCAGATATTGTAGTGCAGTGACAGGAACCTAATGGCATTGAGCGGTGACTGTTGAAAGCAGTTAATTTATACATGCCTGTAAAGGGGTATTTTAAAAATAGTTTTGTGAAGATGTAAAAGGAGATTTTTATAAGTGCAATATTTGCTTCAAGATGTTATATTCCTTTCTTGCATTTTTAAATCGATGCTTAATAAAATATTTTTAAATGATTATGTAACAGCCATGGTACTACTTTTATATAAAGTGGGACACTGTAAAAAAGAATATTCCCTGCAATTTACCTAGAAGGCTGTCTTTGTAACAATTTACCCTTTGCTAAAAGACAATATTTTGAGAATATCGGGGGCCAGATGGATCCAGTAATATAAACACACTATAATTCTTCCCTACAGAACCAGAATACCTTAGCGCTCAAATGGTGTCCCTTAGCAATTCAATTCAATGCCTTTATTTTGTGATAGAAATTGAAGCTCAGGTATATTTAGTGACTTGTCCAAACACACATCTCACACAAGACAGAGCAGGCGATCAAGCTTGGAAGTCCGAATTGCAAACCCAGTGCCTTCCCTGCCATTAAAAGGGACCCTCATTGACCCAGAGGAAAGCCTGCTTATCCTGACTTACAGAGTTCAGTCCTTGGTTTTTGTAGCCTAAATCATAATTGGTCATTTTATATGACTTGAAATTAGAAGTGAGCCTGACACCCCCATCCTGTTCATTCCCAGTTAACTGGATCAGGCTGTCTGCTAGGATGCACTCTTTCTTTGAGAAATCTATTTTCACTTAGTAGTGGAAGAATTGGAAGTGACTTCCCATTATTTGCACAAGGCTGCTTAAAATGTCACTGTACCTGCAGTGGGTGTGGCTGGCAGCCCTCAGGAGGTTGCCCTCCAAGAGCTGTGGAAAAGGGGCAGCCACCCCTATCCAAAGAAAGTAGAAAGAGTATTAGGGATGAACAAAGACTTGAGTCACAAGGTCTTCTATAGTAAAAGCAAAGTTTTAGAAACAAGGGAAATATTCTTTGGAGTGAAAATCCAAGTATATGTTATTTGAAACATACCTAAAACATAAGGTCGCAGAAAAGTTGAAGAGAAATGGGTAGAAGAAGAAAACTATACCAGGAAAATATTAACAAAACTGATGTGGCTTTATTAATATTAGAAAAAATAGACTTTAAGGCATTATTCAAGATGAAGATTACAAGGAGATATAACAGTTACTTACATGCAGCTAATAACATCCTTAAAAATAACTAAATCTGGTGTTGTATAAATGGAAATTGACAAGTTTATCATCATTGTGGAGACTTTAACATTTTTTTCTCAGTAATGGACAGATTTAAAAGGAAAAAAAAAAGACACAAAAATATAGGTGATGTGAGCCACACAGTTACCTAGATTCACCTGATGGTTAGAACAGTTTCAAAACTCGCTACTTACTGCACTGTGAAACAAATCCCAACACATTTCAAAGAACTGGTAAGGTACAGGCACCCTTCAACAACAAGGGATAATTAGAAATTAATAAAAGAAAACAATAGTAAAAAAGATAAGAAAAATGGTATTGGAAATTGAGATATGTGCTTTTAAATAACTCATGATCAAATGGAAATTATAATGTAAAACCAAAATATTAAAAATTGAACAATAATAAAAATGCTAAATTTAAAAATTTTCAAATGTGTGGAATGTAGCTCAAATAACACTTTAAAATTTATAAACTTAAATATTTGCATTTTTTTAAAAAGGGTGAAAAATAATTTGTAAATTATACAAATAGGAAGTTAGTAAAATAGCAACAGAATAAACTTTTAAAAGATAGGAGGAAATAAGCATAAGAACAGAAATTGAGTAAAATAGTAATCCTAAACAATGGAGAAAATGAACAAAGCCAAAAATTGCTTCTCTAAAATGACTAATATAATTGGCAAAACTGACAAGATTAAGCAAGAAAAGAAGTGAAAAAGGACAAGAAAACAATTTAGGACTGAAAGCAGGACCTACCTACAGGTGTTACAGGCAATCTTAAAAGGCAATAAGACATTCTGAACCATTTTGTGTCAATAAGTCTGAATGATGCTCCTAAGGTCCTGTATGGCAGACAAGCCACATACGTTTAGTCTGATTTTACAATCCACTCACTCACTGGTTTGTTCAGTGACGTAGCACATTTATGTGCAGGCATCATGCAAGGCTCTGGGCATAGCACTAATTAGGACAGAGTCCCTCCAGGAGCTCATAGTCTCATGGTAACTCAGTGAGCTGAGGCACAGGGTGGTAAGTGATTTACCAGTGAGGTAGACATAGCTAGGTACTTGGAGAAAGGGCTGGAGCGGGAGAGAGGGCCAGGGACAACTAATGCCTAAATGCATCCATCTGAGCGAGGAGCAAGGCTGCACACAGAAACATCACAAACCTGATGGCAAAAAGCTTAGAATAGCTTCCAGCTGTCACATCATCGAATTCCTGTCTCACTCATTAAGCCACTACGTGATGGTATCTACACACTTGTCCCTGAAGGCATGGGGCATGCCACCGGTCTGCTCAGACACAGTAGCTGTAGGTCACCTGGACCCCATTCCACCACTGGGAATCATACTGAAACTCTTTCATTAAACCCATGATCTTTAAGTTCAGAGGATGCTAATAAGTTACAGATACCACAGAAGTTAGAGAATCTGTTAATTTCCATATATACATTATTTTGGCTATACAGTGGCGAAGAGACTCACTGAGACACACATAAGCGATCTAAGCATTATACAGATATATACAGACATCACATTTAAATGGCGTGTGCACGCCCACCCACTGCGCAGCAGCTAATGCAGACGTGAACTCGCATAAGGCAACTGCTTTTGTGATGACGACACATGATCCTTGAAGGGAGGGCAGAGTCCACGCAGGACCGACCGTTTCGGGGTTAGTGATGCTCTTTGAGGAAGGGATTTCAGCAGGCAGGATATCTAGGTTACTGACAAAAAGCAGTGAGTTATAAAAAAGAGTTGCTTCTGAATGTGGAAACCATAATAATCCCGGAATCTAAGTAGTGAGCCACTCAAAGACACTACTGGCCTTGTGCTGCCACTGACTGAGGGGGACTTCACAGTGACTGATCGCTGGGGATCAAACTCGATGCGTAATCATCCACGCGACGCTCCAAAGCCACTCAACACACGGGCTCAAATCCCGTCAGTCACTCACTTCACTTTGCTGTGGAGAATTTTCTTCTTTGTCGGGCTTCTTTGAGTGTTCGCTTTGCTTAGGTGCCGAGGGTCCTGCCCCTTCAGAGCCCTTCCTGCCGGAGCGACCCTGCTCCACTTCACACAGGTAGATGTCGATGGGCCCCTTGGTGCTCCGTATGTGCACCGTGATGGAATCTTCTCTGGGGGCTGGGACGTCCAGTCTGGTCTCTGCCGGAGCTCTCACTGCAATGACAATCTGCTCGTGGAAGGCTCGGATGCTATGGATGTCTTGGTACGTCACATACGCGAACCTTTCATTGTCTTTGTCATCCGTTAACTCTAACAGCTGCTGAGCACAATCCTTAATCAACTCGTCCAGAGCCTCTTCCATGGCCGACAGGTCGGACAGCTCCTTCCGCAGCTTCTTCTGTCGGGACACTGCTCCGAAATTGTTGAGATCGGATCCTATCCATCGAATGTGGTTCTTAGATTTGTTTTCAACCAGGTCGATCCCATCTAAGACATTGGTGATGTCATATACTCTTCGTTTCCGTACTCCCAGTTTTGTTGCAACCTTGTTTAAGTCAAGACTACCCCCAGGAGCATTTCTGACAAGATCCATAAATTTCCGAGTTAAATAAACCAGTGATACATCAAACCGAGGTGTCTTCACTTTTAGAGTTTTTCTCATGGACACATACTGTACATTATCTTCTAAATTAATCATTATTTTTGATGGCAGCAGGCCCTCCACGTTGATGGGGTCTCAGCACCGGCGGCGCACCGTCTCCTCCGCTGGGTCCACGAGCTCGCTGGGCAGCTTGCCAGCCGGCCCCTGCTGACTCATGCTGCCCGCGCCTTCCCCTGGTCCGGCTGGCCGCCGCCCCCACGCGTCGTCCCCGGAGCCCAGCTGGAGCAGCGCCGCGGACTGCTCCCAGGCACACTGCCCACGGCTGCGGAGGTACCGCGCGGGCTGGAGGCGAGCAGGGTCACCCGCGACTCCCCGCTGCCCCCAGTGCCCATGGAAAACTTTCCAACCCCCTTCCATTGATGTTTTTGTTCTGCTTATAAGTACCGCACGCTAACTGATTGTGCTACTGGAGCGATGTTTTTGTTCTGCTTTCCCTCTCCCTCCCTATAAAACCCCCTGACTGCACTGAGATGCTAAGACGGGCTTTGGACCAGAGTCCACCATCTTCTCAAGTGACTAGCACTTAAATAAACCTCTTTCCTTTTTCAACAGCACCTGCCTCATGAGTTTGGCTTTTAGATGAACCTTGGTTTGGGTTACAGTTTTGGCAAGCCAGCCAAGAACAAGCAGGAGCCCCAGTAAGTTCCTGGACTTGAGAGGGAGTTTCCCAGACTGCCCGTGGCTGACTGACGCTTCGGAGTCCCTAGTGATTTTACTCGGGGCCTGTCTTTCACTCTTTCTTGGTGTTTACTGCCTGCTACATCCAGTTGGGGGAAGGAATGGGTTGTTGGTGGGTTGATGAGCCCAACCTGGGTAAAGTCCCTAGTGTACATGACTAGGAGCCCTAGCCCTGCTTCTTGGGATTCCATTGGAATCAGTAGGCGCAGCTCAGCAGTTGGCACTGCTCAGTGACGAAGAAAAATCCCGGTTCCTCTGTGTGGGTTTTGGTTGGAACACTCTTTTGGTTTTGGTATATGGATTTGGGGGCTATTGTTTGCTTTTTTTTTTTTAAATATATTTTATTGATTTTTCACAGAGAGGAAGGGAGAGAGAGAGAGTTAGAAACATCGATGAGAGAGAAACATCGATCAGCTGCCTCCTGCACATCCCCCATTGGGGATGTGCCCGCAACCCAGGTACATGCCCTCCACCGGAATGGAACCTGGGACCTCTCAGTCCGCAGGCTGACGCTCTATCCACTGAGCCAAACCGGTTTCAGCTGTTTGCTTTTATTATTGCCTAAATCTTGTGGGTGTCTTAATAGTTGTGTTTTTAATTTGTGATATTATCACTTAGAGAAATTTGCATAGAAATCATATTGCTATATAGTTGCTTGCTCCTTCCTGTTTGTCTAATTGTTATTTTATATGTAACCCTTGACTCTTACACATGTGGGGGAGGGGCTTGGCATCAGTGCCCAGTGGTAGCCCATTCTGGCCAATTGGTCCAACTATGTTGATGAGCCAATGACCAAGAAAAAGATGATCTTTTATTGTAGCACAGAATTGTCTTGCCAAAGGTCTAGTAAATAGAATAAGGTCATTTATATCCAAGTTTACATGTTGTTACAGCATAAGAATTCTACTCAGCAAGATCTAAATTGATGGTTCAAAGAGGGGGAAAGGGTCTCACTCCCTTCCCACACAGTAAAACTCAAAAAGAAAACAGTGAGGAAATAAGTCTTTTAAATACCCTAAATCCTCCTCCTGGAAACCCAGTAGCTGCTGTGGCCTGGGGAACAATGTGGAAATTAATGCCACCTCAAAACTCTGTAAAGGCTGTGAAAACATCAGGAGCCACTGTCCCACCTCAATGTAAGAGAAAAATGTGGTACTTTTAAATTCAAGTGGCAGAGCCTGATATCTCCCCCTGCCTCTTCTCCAGCCTCCTTAGAAATTGCCAACGACCCCAGCTCACTTTTGAGAACACTAAAAAAAAAAAAAAAAAAAAAAAAAAAAAAGATACAGTAAAAAAAAAAAAAAAAGCAGTACAGCAATCACCAAGAATCCAAATGGGTAATTTAAGTTTAATTGATGCCTTTTACAGATATTAACATAAAATATGTTTGTTTGGCCTGTGTTTACAAAAAAGAATTTATGTTATTTTGTTTTGTGTCTTAAAAAATGAAAGTGTATTTGCCAATAGAAAAAAACTGTTTCTGAAAGGTATGAAATATATTCATAAATTGCAAATCTAAAGAATGCTAATTACTTAATTTTAGTTGTCACTAAAAATTAAGGTTTCTAAGAATTAACAATTCTAATTAAGTTGGAAAAAAGCATATGGTTTTGGTAATATAGAATTGAAAGTAGGTTGTTCTGAGGTTGGTTTATTTTTTAATATATTTTTATTGTTTTCAGAGAGGAAGGGAGGGGGAGAGAAAGATAGAAACATCAGTGATGAAAGAGAGTCATACTGGGGATTGAGCCCACAACCTGAGTATGTGCCCTGACCAGGAATCAAACTGTGATTAGATCGATGCTCAACTACTGAGCCATGGCAGTTGGAGATAAAGTTGGTTATTTCTAAATGAGTTTAAAAGAAACAAATTAAGGGAGACTAAGAAAGCTGCAGAAGGATTGTGTGAGTTGTTAAGGGTTTGTGTGTGTTTCAGAGGGTTTGTGCAAGTTGCAGAATTGTGTAGAGGAAAGAAGCAAAAAGAGAAAGAACTGAGGACATGAAAAAAAAGGTGAAAAAGGATAAAAGAAAGGGACAGAGATATTACAGGAAGAAAAGACATTGGAGGAGGAATACTCAAAATGGGAAATGGGGGGGGGGGGGATAAGAAAGAGAGGGTTTCAAGGTGGTAGTGGAGTAGGTGGATCTTCCTTGTACCTCCTCCCAGAACCAAACTGGAAATAAAAATAATTGGGTAACATTCACTCTGAATTACCAACTGAAGACTTGCTGAAGAGGAGACGTTTAACAAGGAAGGGCAGAAACCACCTCAAAACTGGTGGGAAGGGTGGGCTCTTGAGAAGGCCTGGCCCAGCTCCCATGGGCAGCAGGCTGAGGATGAGGAGAGACATCTCAGTTTCGGGGGTGTTTCCCTGAAAGGAGCAAGGCCTGGACTCCAGGCTGGGCTCCCCAGCTCGGAGTACCAGAGCCAAGAACAGCAGCCCATGCAGCATCCAGCCAGGAAAGGGGGCAGGGCTTCTATCTCTAGGGAGAGAAGGAGTCTGTTGGAGATAAAGCCATCTGCAAAAAACAGCAGAGCATGGGATTTTTGTTTGCAGCAACTCACCTGAGGCTTCAGTGGAGGGGGGGGGGGGGGGAGTTGGGTAGGTGGGAGAGATAGCCAGGAGACCTGCACTCAGTCACTCCCCATCCCTTATCACAGTAGCTATGTTTCCTGAGAGGGGCAAGTCCCTTCCAGTATCAACAACCAGGGGAAAGGCAAGTACCCCCCACTCAGAGATATAGCTCACCCCACCCTCAAGAATCCCACTTGCTCTACTCTGCACCTCGACCCCTGCTGAGGAAGCAGCAGCAAAGGGCAGTCTCAGGGGGTATCAGTGACTAGCTTTGGGGTAGGGCCATTCTCCCCACTGTCCCTGGAACCTGACTGGTGCTTCCTTCTCACTGGAGACCTAATAGAAATTCCTGGCTTCCAGCAGACCCCACCAGACTGCATATGAGGGTCTCTGTCTTGCCAAGGTCAGAAATATTCTGGGACAGACTCAGATGTGTGGTTCTGGGACATGGGAACACACCCACCCCAAAATCTTCCCTGAAATCTGAATGGCACCTTCCTCTCACAGGAGACCCAGAGGTTGCATCCCCCCATTTCCAACAAAAGCCCTTTCAGAAACAGCCTTTTCGGTGGCTAAGTCTGGCAGCTCATCAGTAGGTGGAGGTGGGCAGAGGCAGATCCCCAGGAGCCTTAGGACATTTGCTGACCAGCTTCTGGGCCCCATGCTGCTAATAAGCCTTGCCTAGAGCACAGCTTGACCCCTCCTGTGCACAGCCAAGCCTTGTGGAGGCAGCCACAAACTGGATAGTGTGAAACTTCAAACAGGTTGCCAAGAGCCAAGGGTGGATAACTTCTGAAAGTGGCTAGCACCAAAGTCCCTACAGGGAGGTCCAGAAATGGCATACAAAACAGTCAGCATTAGTCAACATAAGAGCAGGATCCAAAGGGAGGTCCCAGGAGACACTACTTTGCCAAGAGGAACTAACTTCAGATATTTTATCGTTTGTTTGCATTTGCATTATTTTATTTCTTTTTTCTTTTTTATTGCTTTATTATTTTATCTTTTTTCTTTCATATCTCTTATTTTAATCTTTCTTTTTCTTACTCTATTTTTTGTTCTTTCTCTTCCTTTTTCCTTTTCTTATTTTTTCCTTCTTTTTTCCTTTTCATAATTTTTCCTTCCTCTTTTATACCATTTTCCCTTTCCTATTCTTTATTCTTATACCCTCCCTTCTTTCCTTTGATATACTATTTTCTTCCCCATTTTTCTTCTTATATATTTTTATTTTCTTTTATTATTTTTGTTCTCTTTTCTCTTTCTTAATTTTCTTTTCTTTTGTGGTTGTTTTTGTTGTTGTTGTAGGATCTTTTGTATGCTTTTTATTTGTTTCTTCTTTTGTTTTGTTCTGTCAGCATGTGCACAACAGTTCACATGACATGGTGAGGTTTGAGCCTCACAGTCAGCCAACCTGAGGGAGAAATCACCCATGAATGGGACAACATCAACAAGATCAAACTACAATAGAAGAGCCAAAATAGCCCACACAAGGGACATTCGTAGAGCATCCAGCTCAGAAGATCAAAGAGTCTGTACCACTAGGTCCCACAGGACAGGTACTACATAAGGCCAGCCCACTAAGGCTGTGAGGGATAATAGTTCAAATACATAGAAACAAACACAAAGAGACAACAAAATAGGGAGACACAGAATCAACCCCCAAATGAAAGGAAAGGAGGAAGCTCTGGAAAAAAGAGCTAAATGAAATGGAGGTAAGCAAGTTATCAGATATAGAGTTTAAAGTAATGGTTATAGGTATGCTCAAGTAACTTATTGAGAATTATAAGTAACTTAATGGGAACTACAGTAGCATGCAAAAAGAAACAAAAAGCATAAACAAGGAACCAGTCAGAAATGACGAATACTATAT